CTGAATTTTGCGAAGTTGCGCGGCCCAGAAAACTAATCTTAAGAATACGTCAATAGAATAATTAAACCCAATTTGCTTTGACAAGCATGGCAGGCAGTAAGTAATTAGTTTAGGCTCCTAATCCAAGCTGCCCTTTGTGACTTAGAATGAAACCCCTTGTCCAGAGCTTCCAAAACCTCCAACCGCCGGATTTTGAGAACCTCAAAACTCCGGATTTTAAGGCTCCACGCCAGGTCCAAAACTATCGATTTCTTATGAGGCCGCTTATTCGAGGAAGCCTAGCAATCATTTTTCCTAAGGGGTAGTCCAGCAGCTGCCCAGATCCTCAATAATACGAATGTTTTGGGCCCTGAAGTATCCATCAAATCGCAGGAGCCTAAAAATTAGCAGAAAACAAAAACCTTTTGCTGTTAAAGGCTCAGCATCTAACAAGTGCTCAAGATCTCAAATCTCCGGATCCTTTCTAGAATTCTCATCAAAACCTTCTGAGACGCTTCTGAAAACTGAAATCCTCTGAACTCCTCAAACCTTTCTGAATGCCGTCCGAAACCCTTCCGATCTATTACCGAAGCCGATCCTGATCCCTCCCATTGAAGTTAATTTACACCCAAGATCCGGGCCGATCCTGATCCATCCTATTGAATTTCTATTTTAACCTAGGATCCAGATTTGTTTGATCCCTCCTATTGAATTTTAATTGAAACCTAAAAACCATGGAATGTTTGGGGGGTGTACCCCCCCCCTCAAAAAATAGGCTCCCATTTTTGTTTGGGGGGAGAGGAGGGTCCCCCTGCACTAATCAGGATCCAACATTAATAATCCCTATAGGGTTAAACTCCTAGTGCCCCCCCTTAATAACCCTTATAGTAGTCCCCTGTATAATCCCTTACATAGCCCCTTTGAAGGAGTCTCATACTCTGGGAACTGCGTTAGCCTTGTGTGCGTCTGTCATGCGGGAACTGACCCAGGGGCTGGTCTTGAGCCGTCAAAGTGAATCCTGGATTCAATGATGCTTTACATCTTTGTGTCTGCATGGACACATGATGAGCTTGAAAAAGCTGGCATCCACATAACTGCTCTACATCACATGGGTGGTTGACAAAATATGGTCCCGTTTTGGGTACCCTACATATTAGGTGCCGTGATATAATAGGGATCCAGAAAAGGACCAGAATTTTGACAACCACCCACATGGGTGCTCCTTGGTCTTCAAAAAAGTCTTCAGCAAGTTAAGGCTGCAAAGTGTCGAGGCATGTTAGGGAGGATTGGACTCTTTTCACCTTGCCAAGGTCGACCTCCTCCCAATATGAACCCAATGTAACCCTAATATACTATAGTAGTTTCCGTTTTATGTTCCATTCTCCCAATATAACCCCAAGATAGCCCTAATATACTATAGTAGTTTCCATTTTGTGTTCCATTATCCCAATGTAACCCCAATATAGCCCTAATATACTATAGTAGTTTCCATTCTGTTTTCCATTCTCCCAACACTAGCTAAACTGCAGCTACACTTCAAATGCTGGGGTCCTTACGCAAAGCGCCAGGCCGATCACTGCCAGCGGAGAACGGCGCCTGGACGGGAGTAGGGGGACACTCTTTTTGGATGCCATCTTTGAGGAAGGACATGCTCGATCATCAGCAAGCTTTCGCACCTGGAACATAAAGAAACCCGACACCAGGAGCACACAATTCGGGGTACTGCAGCCCATCCGGCTGTTGACAGACAAGTTCTTTGTGCTGCACCTTTGCCTTAAGCAAATACTGATGAGCCCCACTTATAGGTTACAAGTGCTGCTCCAAGCAGCGTCTGAAAGGTATGGATGTTTTGAAGGGCTGTGGCTAACTTAGGAAGCAGTCATAACAAACAACCTCGTTCTCAGGTACAGACGCCATTGCAGGGCCGCGGGACGGCTAAGTCGTCAGCACGTTTGAGTTGGGACACGGCTGACATCGGTGCAGAATGTTCAGCAAACTGTGTCCCCGCAGAAGGAGTTTCAGAGAAGGAAGAGCTCTGAACCGGGAAGATGCCGGGAGGCATCATCAGTAAACACAACCATGAGCTTTTCCAGTCTTTCAGGTGGTGCTGTAAACAGGCCTATCCTGACTACGCGTTACTGAAGAATAGAGCCCTTCTAAATGGGGTGGCCGATAAGCCGCGACGCAGCTATGACAAGAACAATATAGAGCTCTTGGGGTGCATCTTATCTTTATGCAGTGACATCCTGATAGAGATATCCTTAGAAACAAAATGCAACACCAGCAGCAGCCGCACAACTTCTCGTGGCCGATTTTCTCGTTGGTTTCGTCTTTGTCGCGGCGCAGACGCGTATAGACGTGTAGAATTGATGCGCATCTAAGCGCAACTGCTGTTTTCACAGCAAAAACTCCCTCTCCAAGCCGCACGTTGCTGTGTTGCAAGCAGATCTGCCGCAAAGAGTACTCGTTATCCATCATGTTCTGGCTTGGTTGCAGGAGCATGTCCCAATTTTCCACTCAGAGTTGCGCTGAACTTCTCACTCCTCCTCGCGCAGCAGGGGAAGCACAATACAAAACGTCTACAGCACCACTCACAATGCGAAAAGTGCTGAACCAAATCATGTGAGCAAATCCGTCGAGTATAAACAAGACATGATCAGATGTCCTGATAAAAGAGTTGAGTCGGGGTCTGTACTAAAACGGGCTGGCCTGGCTCAGAAGCCGTTACGGCCCCACACCACAAGCGCAATGGACATCGAGAACATGGAGAGCAGCACCACCTGTTCCACCCAGTGCTGGGACGTCTGAACATGTGAGTCTGGCAAGATTCGTTAGGCTCCGGGCGAAGGTGATGTTCGGATTCTCCAGCGGGGACAGGTCCGCCAGGGTCATGCTGCTTGCGAGCTCAGTGGCCTTCACCACTACACTCACCCGAAAGCAGGAAGGAACTCCTTGCAAGCTTACTCAGCTGTTAACATACTGGATGCGGGCCAAAGCTTGATTGACCGCGCCTGGGATGCTGCGTTGTGTGCCGAGCTGGCGACTTCTGGAGCCTTCCCAGGTTCTGCGCATTGGCCCAACTTGGGCGTAGCTTCAGGTGGCTGGTGGACATTGCACTAGATGTCTGGCTTACCTCATACACGTCTCTTAATCTCACACCTAGACCACACAACTTCGTTGGGAAAAATGGACAGGAAAAACTCCATGTCAGCTTGGCGCCTGCTGGATCATGGGGCCCAGGAATGCTGGCGCGCAGAGTAGCCAAGCCTTAGGGTTTGCTCCCTTTCCCGTCACATGCCCCTAGATGTCACCACCCGCAACGGAGTCGAAGAATTTTCTGCAGCTTTGGCAGCCCTTCCGGGAAACAGCAGGGCACTTGAAGCATGAAAACTGAAGCTGATACTGCTGTATGGGCTCGGATGGCTTTATGTTCTTCAGTGTGGGGCATCTTTCATCCACATCCTGTTGCCTGCCCACAGCAGTATGGGCCGCGCAGGAAAATTGCGACGCCCGAAAATTGAATCCCGCCCAGCCCTTTGAAGGCGGAGGGGACGAAGGCAGTACAAAACTCAAGGCAGGCTCCACGCATACCTTCACAGCCACTCAGCCAAGCAGCGCCTGAGCGATGCCAAAGCTTGTCTTGAAGTGGAAAACACGGTGGGAAACGGGAAATGCTGCTTCAGCTGAGCCACTGGAATGTTGAACCACAGGGCGGGCGTTGTGGCAAGCTCCAGGAGGGTCAGAGTGGGTTTCCTGAGTGCGGCGAAGAGCGAAGGAGGCCATTCAAAATGCTGTCTGGATCTGCAGCCGGCTGGGCTAATACGCTGTATCCTTTATGCTTTATGCCCAAGTGGCATATCGTTTGGTATCTCAATCTCTTTGTGACTATTTTCATTCAAACTACTAGCATATATTTATAACTCGACCCCTGCTACAATGAACCGCATTCTCTTGACTCTTGACGTCTACGAGGGGTACCCACCAAGGGTGACTGCTGCAGACGCGGGGCTTGGCAAAGGGGAAGAGTTCGGCAAAGGCGTCTTCGGGCAGCTCCTCACCACGCCTCATTCGCACGAAACATAGGAACTACAGTGACAAATGAGTAGTGTTTTTGGTGGTGAACCTAGCAAGATAATATTCCTGATATAAAATACTATACCCAAAAGGAGGATATAATCTTACTCTATATTGGGTACCATAGTATCCCAAAGTAAAATACTACTCAAATGATGATAGTAGCGAAGCATGAAGCCTTTACAGCTGAGAGGATGATGGTCAAAGCGAACCTGTTAACAGCAGCTGAAGGAGAAATCCATCTACTGTGCCATTCAACAGAAGCCTGCGAATTTGGACGACGGCGCAGAGCGCGAGCGCCGCTTGTCCATTTGACTCCTGAAGTCCTGCCTTTGCACAAGTGCCTTATAAAAAATCAGCCTTGGTTCCAAGCTACGAGTATTACTCTCCAAGGAAAAACGGTCCCCACTTCTTTACTTACAGGGTGAACGAGAGTAGGATCATCGATTCCACATGCCAGAGTGGCTGGATGGCCCAGTACTCCGCGAGAAAATGTATTTGCCGGATGCCTGTCACCTTTGTTGAGCTGGAGTTGGAGCCTCTGAAATGCTCGATTAAAACTCTACGGCATAGGCATACTCAAGTTCTCGCACGTACAACTCGAAACGAACGAAACAAACAACTGCCGCATCACAAAAGTACACCAAAGTTATTTGTCTCTGTCCAGTGCAGGCAGGTGGCGAAGTTCCAGCCAGGCACGAAAAGGCCAAAGGGGTCCAATGGGGCCTCGGATGGCACATCCCAATGGCGCATTGAGGACTTCAGAGGTCTGGAACCTACAAGGGCTATTAGCCCTGCTCTGCATCTGACAAGAAATTCATGCTGCTGCCAACCTGAATTGGAATCTGCAAGTTCCGCAGTCTGTAGCCCCTGAGGTTGATTGCAGTAGACTCGTTCCTGCTGGGTGTCCCACGGCAAGCCATGCACCAAGAATGCGCTCACTATGGCTACCTTCCCTGCTTTTTAAAGAAAATGCATTTGGCATAGAGACTTCGCTTAACGATTCGACGGGGGGTTGCAAAAACCAATACAGGTTGGAATGCCTGGGAGTTGTCCAGCAACCGCTGCAAGGACCCAACCCCTCATTACACAATCTGAAAGAGAGATCCCCTTATCATCCCTACATTACTTGTATAAGCCATAGTCTAAACTCCTAGTATCCCGCTCAATAACCCCTATAGTAGCACCCTAAAAAATTCCCTTACATAACCCTCTCTTGAAGGAATTTAGACCAGAGCTCATATTACCGTACTTTTTTCCTTTATGATCCTCAGGGCAGCCGATTTCACGAAACCTTTTGCTGGGCCAGTGGCGGGTCGGCCTATCTCCTCGAAGAGCTGGTTGACCTAACTACAGACATCAGGGTTTCCCAGAAAATAAGGGGGGCTATAGGGGTTTCATACGGTTAGGGTTGTATAGGGTTTATAGAGTGAGATAGAGCTTACAGGGCTTAGGGTTTAGGGTTTCCCAAAATAAGGGGCACAGTACCTTTCTGTGGTCCCCATAATGAGAATTACAGTATATTGGGGTCTATGTTGGGGTCTCCTGTTGGGAAACTACGATTTCACAGAGATCACACAGGGATGACGTAGCTAGGAGGTTTGCAGATTTCGGATGAGGTCAGACAGCATTGAGGGGTAAAATCAAATGAGATACGGCCTTCACAAAGAAAAGTGTTGGTATTCCTTCCTCTCAGATTACGAACCAGCAGCACTTGGAACCCACATCCCCAAGTACGAGCCCTCAGCAAGTGAGATGCCCTCCAGACTCCCCCTGCGCCTTGTTGTAGAGGAACCACTGGTTCAAATAGATCCAGGCAAACGCGCTGTAGAACCTCTGGTTTTGACCATGTTGGGGTCTAATTCTCAAAAAATGGAACCACCAAAAGCGCAGGAGCGATGCTCTAGAGCTTGGTGTATTCTACGTTTTGCATTGCAGGGTTGAAGGGCCGGCACCTCACCTCTCGGGGGGTGATTGCGGGATGCGGGGGAAGCTTTAAACGGAACCGGCCAAAGCACGCCGTGGAGAAGGCATTGTCAAAGGGCCCTCCCTCGAGCGAACCATAGGCAAACCTTGGCGGGGCATCCAGATAGGTGCCACAAACTTGGACCACTTTGGAGCATGCATGACATCGATGCTTTGAACATTTTCCTCAGGCAAGGCGCTCGCCAAATACACCTCAGGTCCAAAGGCGGACAAACATCAGAAAAACTTCTGTCCAGTCCATGGAGCCAAGGTGACATCATGATCTGAAGGCGTTCGCACGTTGAACATGGCCCTATCTGAGGACACCCGAAGCCCAAAAAGGAAAGCGCGGTGTGCCTTCAATCCCTCCTCCACGATGTCTCTGCCAACCAAGGGGCCTGCGAAGAGACCCAAGGCGAACGGAATGATGACCTGACAATTTCAAGCAACGCCTCTTCTATATTCTAAAAACAGGGCAAGACGACCAAGAGAAGAAATGCGTTTGGGAGAGCCACTGGTACATACTGGGACAAGCATGCACACTTGTCCACTATAAGAGCCTCATGCTTCTGAATGGTAATGCTTAGCTTGTTAAGCTAACCCCCTCAAGACTGCACCAGTGCTGCACTGGATCGACTCCATTGGGGCAAACGTAGAAGACCATACTGACTTGAGAACTGGACGCGCAACATGTCCCTCGTATTGCCGAGCCACCAGTGAGCCTCCGATCCCGAGACCCCGGTAGTACCGCAGATCATCTTCCACCAGCAACTTGTAGTAGAGATACCTTATGCTGGCAGCAGCCTTCCATCTCGGGAACAAAACGCTTATGGCAAGGAGGTTTCTTGTTACTCAGCATAGCGTCTCTTTGCAGCTGAGTTGCCACACGACGCCAGGCCAGAATGTGGCCAGACACAACCAACGGGCCCACATCGGGAAGCCAGCCTTCAAGCGATAGGTCTTACGGATGTGTCTGCGGGCTGCGGCCGCCACCAGCTGAGGCGAAAAAAAGAAGCAACAGTCTCTTAAAAAATTAAGCTACAACAGCCAGCAAGTGGCTGGAGCAGTCTCTGCAGACTTGTCCATGAACACGGCAAACGACGGGAAAGCCCACCTGATGCACCATGCAACTAAAGAAATCTGAAACTTTGGCTTCGAGAGTGGCCCAATTCACTGGTGCGTGGAAGTCCGAATCAACATTGAAAGTCAGGCATGTCTGCAAAACCATGCAAACCAACTTTGGCAGTTTGCACACACTGGAACCGGAGCAAGTGTCCGCTGTTCGCTCAAGGCTGCGATCAGGTGTCTATCTTCTGATCGCGGCCAAGCAGCATCAAGTCACGAGGCCTGGGCCCAGATCAGTGCAAAAGCCATACTAGGTTACTAGGTGAGGATGCATCGCAGGCAACGGCACAAGCTTGCCATCCTTTCCTCGCATCTGGTGTGCACATGTCTGGCCTGGCAAGCATGAGCCCATCCGTCCTCAAGACAGGAGGGCCTGCCTGGCGGCACGTTAATCGTCGTAGCGCTAGGTGGCGCTTCCCTGCAATTGCAGGGACTAAGACCTTCGCCCACTGAGCGTGGGCGTGAAAATATGACATCGATTCGATGCCAGGCTCTTTTCCGATTTCCTTTGATCGGCCAAGCAATATTGGTGCCGGTCGACTGCAGGTGGGATTTAAAAGGCTTCCCGCCCACAAAGTACAATGGCACAGGAGCATGAACTCTGCTATCACTAGGCGAGCTTGGTGGCCGCGACAGTCTGACGATCATGACAACCATGCAACCCAAGGCCTCAGCTGACAATTCTGTCTTGGCGTTAATTGTCTCGCCGTGGTATGATTGAAAAGCCTGGCTTGGTCGTTTTGATCAGTGACAAGGGAGAGAGAGAGAGAGAGAGGTTAAATGGAATGCAAACTCACGTTGCCTCAATTAGGTACAGAAGGGAAGTCCTCATGTCGTAGTCGTAGCACTGCCTCCCCTAGTGACCGTGGTTTTTGGCAAGCTGTTGCATAATGTTGCATCGTGGTTGGTGACCAACCAGTGGTTGGCGGATTGTTGCAAATCCGCCGAGGCACCTAGCCCTCTGGTGTTTTGGGGAGCAATACTCTGCCCACCCCCTTCCAACGGAGGGGGTGCGCAGAGAGCTCTGATGGGACTGGGCGGAAATCCTGGGGGTCAGGCTTCAGGCTCGCAAGCACTTGGTCACCCTCAATGCATTTAGGCTGGTCCCGGCAGCTTTCGAGAAACGTTGCTTTTTTTCCACCCCCCAGCCTCTGCCTTGCCTGCCCCCCCCCCGCAGCAATCGGGCCTCACTCGCAGCGGAAGCAGGCAATGCCTTGTTGGCGCTTGGCTTCCGAGAAATTCCCCCTCCTCCCCAACGGCTCGCATTGCCTGGCATGCAATGGCTTGGCTCCGTGCAGGGCTTCTTTCTTAGAATATGATGGCACTGGGAACTGACAAGTTGATGTCAAACGGTCCTGTTCCAGGCTGCTATACAAGCAGCAAGACCTCGGCTCAGCACCCACAAAGGCCCGCATTGCAGGAAATTACTTTAGGTTAATGGGTCTGGTTCATATTCCCGTTCAACCATCTCTCGGGCTTCCGGGGCCCCCCTCCGGCCGCGCCCGCCCCGCCCACCGCACAACCGCATTTCTGGTCGGCCTGTCAGCCCAACTATGCAAATGGAGGATTCTGTAATTGCCATAGCTTGTTGCTTGCAGTAGCTCTGCATGATGCTGCCACCCTGGCCATTCCTGCTTCCAGCGCGGCTGGAGCTGCCAAAAAGCCTGTGCTGCCTGAACTGACAGCAGCTGCACTATGTCTGCGACAGCACTGCTGACCGGTGCCCGAGCTGGCCGAGGTGACGTGCGTCAGCGTTGATATTACGTCTGTCTCAGCGACAATGAGCCTGTCAAGATGATATTGGCTTATTGAATCAGCACCAAGGCACAGTCCCATCCCCGGGTTCACAGCCACTTGCTGCCTAACCTCGGCGTCAAGTCGTACTCGGCTTTTCTCGCTACTTCCACGCCTTCCAATCCTGTGTCCCTGCACTTGCGAACAAGAGGCTCACGCTGAAGCCCAGCGACTGCTGCGCCAAGACACCTCCAACTCCAAGCAAGTAGCCTTAGTACATACCCAGCAGGACAGGAGAAGGTAAGCACGCTCAAAACGTGGCAGGTGACTGCACGCAGGGTTCTGTCAATTCTGTCAAGGAGCCCACTAGCGCAGCAGGCGCAACACTTCGCAGGTACCAACCGAAGGACACCTCCTGGCAGTGCTCTCTTGCCATGATAAGGACTTACGCCACTCGGTAAAAAGGACTCTGGCATTGCAAGCCGTCAGCTCCTTCTCCATTCCCATGAAGGCAACGCCAGCGGCCGAGCCAATCACAAGCAGGGAGCCACCTTGGCTGAATTGCAATACACGCCAGGGCCCAGGGCCTGAACTGTTGTGCAGAAGCGTTGGACCTTCTCAGCACGCCCCAAACCCAGCCCTGCATCCGACGTCTCAGGCGTTCCCCATGCCTTCCTGTCTAACAGCCTAGTTAAGTGTAGGGTGCCGGGCTACCTGTTGCCGCACAATAGGTGATGAGATTCCAGAGACCAGCATTTGCCGGATGCGCAGAGAGGTCATACATTCCCTGAGTCGCCGCAACCAAGGGCACGTTGTCCACGACGGCCGAAGCGAAGCCGAGGAAAATTGCGACGAGGCTCTCGTCGGGCACTAGCTGGCCGAGCTGCACGGCAAACTCCTTTAGGAGGCCCACGCGCTCCAGCCCGCCCACTGCAAAGAGGACACCCAGGAAGAAGAGCGCATCAGGGACCTCAATACGCTTAAGTGCGCCCTTCAGCGAGTAGCGTTCGTCATTCGGCTCGTGGAGCAAGGAGGTGACAAGGCCGAGGAGGCCGAGCACTAGCATCATCCCACTCCAGGCAGGGCACTTGGTAAAGGCGGTGAACACCGGGACTCCAATCATCCCAAGCAGTCCTCCCCAGAAGACCAAGGCTTGACCTTTTACGGGCTCTGTCTCAACCTCCTTTGTCCTCTCGAACGGCTTGCTGCCGTCGATCACCATGAGCTCGTAGCCCATGGCGCCCACCAAACATAGGAAGCTAGGGGCGAACAGGTTTGCTAACAACGGCACAGTGGTCACCTGGCCGCCTATGTAGAGCATGGTGGTGGTAATGTCCCCAATCGGAGTCCAGGCCCCACCTGCATTCGAAGCCACCACAACGAGGCCACCGAGCTTCATGCGGAAGTCCTCGTCCTCAACTAACCTCTGCAGCAGCGAGACCATTACTATAACCACAGTCAAGTTGTTGAGCACGGAAGAGAGGAGAAAGGTGAGGGTGCCGATTGTTAGCAGCAGCTCCCTCTGGTTGGAGGCCTTGATGGCCTGGGTGATGATGTCGAAACCCTTGTGAGCATCCATAATTTCCACGATTGTCAGAGCCCCGAGCAGGAAAAACACGACTTCGGCGACATTTTGCAAGGTTTCTGCTATCGCCGAGTCAAACTCGGAAGCCGTCATGTCTACGCCTCAGCATCAGCATTGCACGCCTCCTTCAAACTGCGGAAGTCGTGGCACCCGAAATCCCTGACACCATGCAAAGTGCGATTACTGCTCTCAACAACACATAATGGCCGGTGTGAGTCTGCAAGAATTTGATTTGCGATCCTTCTTCAAGCCCTCATCCCGGACTGCATTTGATGGCCAGGCCACCGGTTCCAACCAGCACCCAAACAAGAACCTTGGTCTCACTTTCCAACAGCCTGACTTTATGAGCTATAGTCTAAACTCCCAGCATACCCCTGCATAACCCTGATAGTCCCCTATATGACCCCTTATATAACCCCCTTTAACTTTAAGGACTTTAGACTATAGACCATATAGCGTGGCAATCTGCTCTCAAGCTACTTTGATGTCTGGCACTAAGCCAAGGCACTCCCAAGATCAACGCCGTGGCAGCCTTGTTAATTTCGGTCTGCTCCTGCAAACATCTTCTTTAGCTATATATATATATAGATATATCTCTATGGATTAAAAAAGGTGGGTATTCAACGGTATTCAAGGCAAGAAGATGAGTGCTTACGGAAAGCGCGAGGGAGCTCCTCGAGTACGATCACAGCGTAGCCTTGCCGCTGGCAAAGAAAAACATCAGCACAGGACAGGCAAGTTTACTCCGTGGGAGGGGCATCCACTGCGCCCGGCCTGCCACAAAGGTGGCCACAATTGGGAAGTACTGATATTGGGCATCGGGCAAAAATGGAACCATGACCTTGGTTCACACACAGGCAGACAACACTGAACTGGAAACTTGACTACACTGCACGCCAGGTCCTGTGCTTACGCGTTGCCAAGTCACCATACTGTGCTGGATGAGGAACATGAGAATCCTGAGCTTACAAGAACTGCCATGAGAAAATGGCATCCCTGCCAGCCATTGCCTGTCAACGTCGCTTGCTGAGGATACTTTCCGTTGATGGGTGCGTTGTATGTTATAGTCTGCTTTTGTTGAGTCTACTGCAAGCGCGGCTGAAGTCACGATTTCTTTCCAGCACATCTGATATGCAAACATGCTTTCTGACTTGGGAACAGACTGCTGGTCAGCTACTTTGTCCGAGGCGCATCCAGCCGGCGAGGCCTGAACAAGAGAGTAGCACTGCAGGAGCACGACTGATCGAGGCACCACATGGCTACATCTGAAGTCACCAACAACAGCTTGCATGGATTGCAACAACAACTGAAATCGAACTTCATTGGCCAGCTGTGCTCTACATACAACATTGCTCATATAGCGGGTTGTCAAGACAATTCAACGAATATTACTCGAAGCTTCGGCGAAAGCTTTGCCGCGGGTTCGGTGACTGGGGATGAATTAACAACTAATGAAATACTCCATGGAAACAAAACCCAACCCAACACGATATAAGCGAGCCTTGAAACAACTGGAAGACATTCGCGCTTCTGCATTTGGATGGGCTGATCAGAACGAAACCCCTACATAACCCTATAGTATAGTAGTTTCCATTGTCTTTTCCACTATCCCCTATATAACCCCTTACCGGGCCTAACAGCGCTGGCGGTACGCCACTTCCGCGCTGTGAAAGCGAGGCGCCTCCTGCTGTCTTGAGTGTTTTTTACAGACCTCTATGTTCTACAGACGCCCCCGCCTGGTAACCCCGCTATTCATGAGATTGGAGCTGTTCTTTTGGGGAACCTCAGACTCTGCCAATATCAGTCTTGTTCCTAGTACTCCGCTTGTTCCAGATCTGGGTGCTGGTATAGAAATCTATGTTGGCTGTTGGTGGTGTGCTTGTTCGTACTTTTGCGCAAACTGCAAGGCTGCCATTACTGTTCATGCTCCTTCCACAAAGAAGCATTACCACCAGAAACGTACTGCCATTTTTGTTACGTCACTATGTACATGCTGCTACGGCGGTCAGGGTTTCATGTCTTCTCTCACGAATGATCCAACGTGTAGCTGCTGCCAGCAACACCACCTGTATGGCAGCAGGACGAAATCGATATGTCCTCGCACTTGCACAGCTGCCATCGTCACAAGCGGCAGAAGCGCCAAACTTGTGGAGCTCAACGTTGATGTCTGCGAACTCCTGGGCGCTGGCAAGCTGAGAACCGAAAAAAATTGAGCATGGGTATGTGCTGCAAGAAGGATTAAGAGCTAGAGGGGTGGCGTTACCCTGACAATCAATGATGCAAGTCAATCAATGATGCAAGTTCTGACCAACAGCCACCAAGTAGAAGCTTAAACTCAGAAGCAACACAGGTTGGCACACTTTGTATGAAGCTATGTACATATATGTGTTTATACTACGTGGTCTTGGTCACCAGAGGGACGGTCTCTCTCTTTGCGGCATGGAGGAGTGTTCATCATTTATGAATCTGAGGCCGCATCAAGGATGAAAAGTATCGTCACCTCACATAATGCCATCAGTTCAAGCAGGAAATATCCCAAAAATAGAAATAAGAATACTACTAACGATAAGAATAATACAAAGAATGATGATAATACCAACTATAAGACCTTCACCCCGCAAAGTCAAACTCAGCCAAGGCTCCCAGCAGCCAGTGGGGCCTTGTGCCCATTTGCGGAAGCGGGGAAGCTAAGAATTCTCGGCCTCGCAGGCCTGGCAGACCCCAACCAGAATTAGCACTAGTACTGGTACTATAGTAAGAGTAATAGTAGTAATAGTAACAGTAGCAATAGAAATGGCACTAGTAATAGTAATAGTAACAGTAGTAGTAGCAGTAGTAGTAACAGTACTAGAAAGGCAGGTGTATGGCACATATCGCAGGCCTCCATTCTATGGTTGCAACCTGATTCATTGGCTGTTAGCACGATACTTCCTCAGAATTCAAAAGACTACAACGCGATCCCGGCTGCATGACTTGAAAACCTTCGTCAGAACTCTTGGAATTCTCCTACGAATCCCAAAAACGCTTTACTTGGGGTTTGAGGTTTAGGGCTTGATATGCCAACGCTCTGTGTCCATCCCTTGCTGCAATCGCATGGTCGGTTCCCTCCACCTTGCTCCCGAAAAAAGAACCCCACAACTCTAGGATCCTTGCTTTTGCCAAGCTCAACCTGAACCAGAAGCCTGCAAAGATAAACATTTCCGGATTTCCAGAATTTCCATAGAATTCTGAGAAGCCCGCAACACCAAACAGAATTCCCGTCGGCTCAGAAGAACACATGAGCCATCGTCTTAACCCTTTAAAGGGGGCTATATACGGGATTACATAGGAGAATATTACAGGAGTTATTAAGGGGGATACTAGAAGTTGAGAGTTTAGACTACAGCTCACATAGTTTAAGCACGGTTCAGCCACACGTCTTTCTTGAGCTGGGTGGCTGCCCTGCCGCACCCTCGGCGCGGAAGGTCAGCGCGGCCCTGAGAAGCGCCCAAAAGAGGACCAGGGGCGCTAGGACCTGACCCACTGTTGGATGGACAATGGGGGCGGTGAATCCCCTCCCAACCCACCAATGGATAATATTCCCCCTGCTAAATGACAATACGATGTAGAGGGGATTCATTATTAGTTGGTGAGGATCACAACAAAGAGTTTTGGCGGTACAATGAAAGATTTGACTGCGCCGATTTGTCTGAGATCCCTACGAGGCCCGCAACTCGAACTGCGCGCCGGGGCCGCAGCCGAAGCCCTGGCACTGAAGAGGCTGGGGAATTCAGAAGCCTGAATTACCATAATGGAAGATCAGATGGAAAGGAAAATGGACGGTGAAAAGGAAATTGGATAAGTGCAGTTTACAGCTTGAATCCTACGTACAAGGGTGAACTCTGCTTGCAGCGGTGCTGGTCAGAGAAATAGCTTTGCTGAAGCAGTAGTTGGAGATTTCAGCATTCTATGGTGGCTACTGGCACAAAAACAGATTCCTGGCAACGCATCCTGAAAGCTTGGACGGGCATCGTGCTGAAACAGCATAGCGTGTTCAATCTACATTGCACTCATGCCTCAGAACGGTTCCTGTCCTACCAGTACGCCCCTCATAGGAGTTGTGCATGCTGTTGTTTGCTGAATGTGCGCCTCTAGGATTAGGATGGCGTCAATGGAACTTGTGAAAAGTTGGAAGAATTGTGTCAATGTACTTCCAACTCGACCTGCCAACTTCCGGCCTGTGCATCTGGACATCGCTGCGGCCAATCAAAAGATTCAATTTTTCGAAACAACTGTGCGGGGGGGTTGGCCGTTTGGCCCCTCCCCGCTAGCGCTGAAGGTCTGAGCCAAACAAAAGGAGGAGAATCGCATGTTGACGGCAAATTCCTGTTTCGCAGGCAAGTATACACACTAAGATGTCTTGAGAAAACCAGATACCAGATGTTGCTTCGAGACCTGAGGGCTGAACTCAGGAGTGGTCTCGTCGACCTTTGGTACCTTTGGCTCCGGGGAGCCAAAGGGGAATGAGAAGCCCGGCCAGGTCTCCTCCTTCGGTGCAACTGGCTGAGCAGCAGCCACATCCTCTCCGTGAGCACCGGGTGCGCCATGTCAAATTGGATTCAAATTCGGGACATGGGACTGGGCTCTCCAACACTTCCGCGCATTCTGGGCTTGGCTTTCCACAGCGAAAGCTTTTTCATGGATCGAAAGATTGTTGCAACTGGCTTCAAGCTGTGCTCCTGTACTCGAACCTCTTGACAGACCAAGCGGGCAACTTCAAGCACACCAGAATCTCAACTATCAGAACAATCACACTAGCATACGACCTCGTACGTGCTCAATCCGTGCGGAGATGCGTTCAACAATAACAGTGCGGCCAAAACTGTCATCAGCATCACCATCATCACCATCGTCACCGTCATCATGACCGTCGCCATTGTCATCGTGATGCTATTCATGACGGTCAGCACAAGTACATGACAGCAGCAACCTCAGCAACAGAGCCGATGATTACGTTCATTGCAGCTTCAATATCAAAACAGGAGTGCTGTCACTCATAGCTTCCTTGCTACATGTTTGTATTACTTCAAATTACTGCATTACAACATTACGGTGATTCAAGCTTCTGTGTTGAACAAAATCTCAAGGCCCTCTCTTGCCTCTGCCCGACGGAAGAGGACCCCAAGGCCAATGGGAATGGGTGATCCGGCCAGGACCTTGCGAAGACTTCTGGCAAAGAGACTGCGCGCATTCAGAACAGCCAGTGCGGAGACCAAGAGTTCAAAGACAAATCATACCTATTATTTGCTATGATGTTTATTCTGGTTACTCTTCCTGTTTGTGTAGCTATAACTGCAAATCTGCAAAATGCTTTGCCAGCACTGCAAGCTTCAAACCACTACGTTTGCTATCTGTGCTGCTCTTGTTGCTGGAATAACATGCTGACAGATGGATGAAGTGCTGAATCCCGGAACCACGCAGCATAGGGACGATGGGGTTGAACCTTACAGAAGGCTGTTGTTATGGCAGTAGGCTATTGTTATGGCAACGCCGCACACAAAAAAGTTGGTCACTGTGCGTTTGCCAGACACGACGAGTGCAACTGCTGTTTCATTCTGATGTCGCCAACACCGGGATAATTTCTAGATTCTAGCACCGTACCAGCTCCAGAGCGCCTTGCCTGCATCAAGGCTACAGAGGCCTCACCTAACTCCTGTGGCCCTGGCTGAGAAAGAGGCAAAAGAGGCCAGCCCCTCAGCGTCTAAAGCACCGCGCCCCACGCGGGCGCGGGCGGGTGGGCTGGTGCCTCGCGGCACAGCTTGAGTGCAACATAGCTACAAGGCCGTGTGGAACCCATCT